TACCTAAAGGCAGGACCCCTAAACTTTGCACTTAATTCTCCTTGAAGGGTCCCCCCCACTTTGACCGGGTTTTTCTGTCACTCACATCCAGCTGCCCCTACACACCACCTTTCTGACACTCCATTTGTTGGTGCGTCAGGCCTTGGGGGCTGAAGGGACAAGGGTGTCAGTGACCCTTCCCCACCCCCCACCTCCTCTCCAAGTTGGAGGGAGAAGGGGAGGGCAGATGAGGAAGCGGGTTGTTTACAGACTGGGTTCCAGCTGTTGTGAAACCTCAGGCTGGAAGGACACGGGACTGGGTGGGGACACGCGGGTGGGCTTCAGCCCTCCTCCCTGCCCCCTCCCCACCCTGAGGGCTGTCCTCTCTCAGGGACAGCTGTGCCAGGCTCACAGAGGGGGAGAGACCCCCAGTCTACTCTTGGAGCAAAGTCTTGAAGGAGCTCACCCCATCCCCCACCCCGCTGGGGAGGGAAGTGGCACATTCCCTTCTCTCCACTGGGTGGCTGCCCACCCAGCAGATGGGGCTTGTGGGAGCTCCCCGCCCTCTTCACTCATAAAGCCTCCCAGGGCCCTGCCCAGTCAGAGTCTCGAGTCTCAAACACAGCAGCAACATGGTGGGCTTCTCCGTGCACCTGGTGACCCTGGCCCTCCTAGGGGCTGCAGTGTGTGGTGAGTGGACCTGGGCCTGGGGTGATGGCTGGACCCCAGCCTTTGGAAGGTCGGCCAGCAGGACCACCGCTGGCCCACCAGGCATGCAGGCGGGGTGGGGGGCAGCGCCCACGTATGTTGTTGGGTCCCATCCAGTCGATTCCGACTCACAGTGACCCCGTATGACAGAGAACTGCCCATGGGTTTTCTAGGCCATAACTACAGGAGCAGGCCACCAGGTCTTTTCTCCTACGGAGCTGCTGGTAAACCGGAACCACCAATCTTCTGGTTAGCAGCTGAGCACTTAACCATTGCACCACCAGGGCTGCGTAGAAGCCTCTAAGAGCCAAGGGATTCTGGGAATTTCTCGTCTGAAGCCCTAGCCTTCCAGATTTCAGCTCTTCAGGGTGGATTCAAGAACCTGAAATTGTACCATTGGAAACGGGTGGCAGGCGGCCTAACCAGGCTGGCAGGAGCGCTGGTTTCGGCTAGCCCCCATTTCCTTAGGTGCAACTTGAAGCAGTGGGCGCTGGGGCGTTTGCCCCGGGCCCCTCCACTTCCTTTGTCTGTGTCTCATGCATTCCTGCCTGGCCCCCAGGAACCTGAGTTTGGGACCCTGGGAGGGAGGCTCCGATGACGATGACGGAGCAGCCGGAGGGTTGGGGGCGGGGTGGTTCCAGGGCTGGGCTTCCGGCAGGACCGGGTACGCGGTCCTCCCCGCGCGCCTCACCGCCCTGTGGCCCACCCGCAGAAGCGCAGCCCCGGGGTCGGATCCTAGGAGGCCGCGAGGCCGAGTCCCACGCGAGGCCCTACATGGCGTCGGTGCAGGTGAACGGCACGCACGTGTGCGGCGGCTTCCTGGTGGCCGAAGAGTGGGTGCTGAGCGCAGCACACTG